GTGAGAGACTGCTGTGTTTACGTGTTCACGGAAACATGGCTCCACAACAACATCCCTGACTCCGCTATTCAGCTAGACAAGCTAACAAGCTACCGAGCAGAGAAGAACAAAGATAACGGGGGAAAGAAGACGGGCGGCGGTGTGTGTGTGTACATCAGTGACGCTTGGTGCCGAGACACTGTTGTTGTTAGCCAACACTGCTCGCCACTGGTGGAATTTATGGTTCTAAAATGCCGTCCTTTTTACCTGCCGAGGGAATTTACAGCGATTCTTGTGGTGGCTGTTTACCTCCCGCCTAACCCCAGTAGCGAGGGTAAAGAGGAGGCACTCGGTGAACTGTACAGAGCCATCAGTGAGCAACAGACAGCACACCCAGACGGCCTACTCATTGTAGCTGGAGACTTCAACCACGCTAACTTAAAAACTGTGCTGCCTAAAATATATCAGCATGTTGATTTTCCAACCAGGGGGAAAAACACATTAGACCTGGTCTATACCAACATCAAGGGAGCATACAAGGCATCCCCCCTCCCCCACATTGGCCTCTCTGACCACCTCACTGTTCTGCTGGAACCGGCCTACAGACCCAGGGTAAAAGCCACCAAACCGGTTTCAAAACAGGTTCGGGTGTGGTCAGAGGACAGCACAGCTGCACTCAGAGACTGCTTTGACACTACAGACTGGGACATGTTCAAGCAGGCAGCCACATACAACCATCACACCGACATCCAAGAATACACAGAGACAGTCACGGGCTACATCACGAAATGCATTGACGATGTGACACAAAACAGAGCCATCACCATCCGGGCTAACCAGAAGCCATGGCTGACAGGGGAGGTCCACACGCTGCTGAAGGCCCGCAACATCGCCTTCAGAGCTGGAGATCCAGCTGGGCTGAAAGCAGCCAGGGCTGACCTGTCCGGTGCCATCAGGAAAGCAAAACAAGAATACACCTGAGAAATTACAGGACATTTCAAGGATAGCAGGGACTCACGGAGCCTGTGGCAGGGCATAAGGACCCTAACGGACTACAAACTACCGCCACAGACCTGTGACAGTAATACCTCCCTGCTCAACAACCTCAACGGCTTCTTTGCATGTTTTGAAGCACAGAACAACACACCTGCGCAGAAAACCACCCCCCCCACCGACGACCAGGTTTTGTGTTTTTCACCAGCCAGTGTGAGGAGCACACTGCTGAGGATTAACCCCCGCAAGGCTGCAGGACCTGACAACATTCCTGGTCGTGTGCTGAAGGACTGCGCGGAAGAGCTCACAGATGTCCTCACAGACATTTTTAACATCTCCCTGAGCCAGGCTGTTGTTCCCTCGTGCTTCAAGGAAACCACCATCATTCCAGTGCCAAAGAAGTCATCTCCATCCGGCTTCAACATCTACCGCCCCGTCGCACTAACTTCCACCATCATGAAGTGCTTTGAAAGGCTGGTCATGAAGCAGATCAAATCCACCCTCCCCCTGGACCCGTTTCAGTTTGCCTACCGAGCTAAACGGTCCACAGAGGATGCAATCTCCTCCGCTCTCCACCCAGCCCTCACACATCTGGACACTAACACTAAGGCTAAGACTAAGACTAAGGACCCATATGTCAGAATGCTATTCATAGACTTCAGCTCAGCATTCAACACCATCATCCCCCAGCAGCTTGTACAAAAACTTACAGACCTGGGCCTCAGCCCCTCTCTCTGCAACTGGTTGCTGGACTTCCTCACAGGGAGACCACAAGCTGTACGGGTCAACAATAACACCTCAGACACCCTCATACTGAGCACGGGGGCCCCCCAAGGATGTGTGCTCAGCCCCCTTCTCTTCACTCTGCTGACCCACGACTGCAAACCCATCTTCAGCACCAACCACATCGTGAAGTTTGCAGACGACACTACTGTGGTGGGTCTCATCAGCAACAACGATGAGACTAACTACAGGAAGGAAGTGAACCAGCTGGCCCTGTGGTGCCAAAACAACAACCTCTTCCTCAACCTGGAGAAAACAAAGGAGATAGTTGTTGACTTCAGGAGAACCCACCGTCGACCCCCTCTCCCCCTGACCATCAACGGCGCTGCTGTGACGCAGGTGACCAGCACCAAATTCCTTGGGGTGACCATCACTGATGACCTCACCTGGATAAACAACACCACCGCTCTAGCGAGGAAAGCCCAGCAGCGCCTGTACTTCATCCGGAAGCTCAAGCGAGCCGGAGCATCACCCCCCATCATGCTGTCCTTCTACCGAGGGGCCACCGAGAGCATCCTCAGCAGCTGCATCACGCTGTGGTTCGGAAGCTGCACCGCCGCCGACCGCAAGAGCCTGCAGCACATAGTGAACTCTGCCCAGAGGATCATCGGTGCCTCACTCCCCTCACTACAGGACTTATACAACACCCGCCTCACCCGCAAAGCACTCAGCATTGTGGGTGACTCCACCCACCCCTCCAACAGCCTCTTCAGCCTCCTGCCTTCAGGAAGAAGGTTCCTCAGCCTCAGCTCGCGCACCTCCAGGCTGGGCAACAGCTTCCTCCACCAGGCGGTCAGGATGCTGAACTCTCTCCCCTTCCTCCCCCTCTCTGACATCTCTCCCCTGAACTCTCCACCCTGCCTCCGACCTTTCTCCCCTGCCCCAAATGTTCCTGGACTCTAACCCCCCCCCCCCCCCCCCCCCCCCCCACACACACACACACACACAAACACTTGAATATATTATTAACATTTTAAACTGTATACCCCGGTTATCTAGGCCCTTTGTTTTGTTTAATGTATACCATGTTTATATAGGCCCTTTTTGTTTTTTGTTTGATGTATACATGTCACACTGTAGGACTGCGGGAAATGATATTTCGAGATTTCTGGATGTACAACATGTAGAATTCTTGACAATAAAGCTGACTTTGACTTTGACTTTGATATCACAGCAGTGATATTACCACATCAGCAGAGCACATGTCATAGTTCAGCATCAATCAAAACCACATCAACTACAGTAACCAATATGAAACTACAGTTTAACCTTAGCAGGGTTTCTATTCCCCTTAAACAATTTCAAGTCCAAATGATCAACTACTGTCCGCCTTTTCCAAGGAAGGGTGTTCTTACCTCACACTAAGACCAAGCAGATACCTTCAGAGACCACCAGAGAGACCAGGAATTGGGTCGAAATGTACAAAGTACAAACCGGTTTTATTAAGTTTTTAACAAAAATAGAGGATTTACAATATCCTAAAAATAACAAAAGTAAGATACAAAAGTTTTACAAGGACACAAGGTCAAAGTACAACAGCAACAGGTTCCCAAGTGAACCCCCGTCGAGCCTCTAAAAGAGCCCAAGCCAAGACCCAAAATCAAGCCTCAAAAAGGTTTTGAGAGCTTGGAGGGACTTTTTGAAGTGAGAAGGAGGTCACACAGGTTCAATTCTTACTTAATGAATTAATAAAAAAATTAAAGTTAAAATGAAAACAATAAAGACTATAGTAATGATATGCAATTTTAACAAAAGGGAATATGAACATTTTTATGAAAGCAAAACACATTTTCAATGTCATGTTTAGAATTGAGTTTTTCTTTTAACTTCAAAATTGAACAAATATGCAAACTTTATACTTTAATTTATTAACAGAAACTTAACACAACTGTCACTATTGTCTCTAAGATTTGTTGCTCCTGGATGTTGGACCTAAAATCATCAAGTGTGTACACAGTTCACTCTCATCCTGTGTGCATTATTGTCCTCAATCATAACCGTTGTCAAGGTGTCAAAAACCACAACACCTTCCTAGAATTGTGGTTGGAACTTTTATGCTTTGCTTGCACCTTCTAAAATGCATAATGTGCATTGGTCAAGAGTTCAGGATGTTCTGTCTAGTTTCACATGTCTGGTTTCACATGTCTGATAAGACATTATTGAGACATATATCCTTTCCATCAAACCAAATTATAGCCAATTTAGCATTTTTTATCAATAGTAAGCTTAATAGAGGTAGGCGAGGTAAAGGTGAGGTCTGTCACGGCCACTTAAACAGCAGATCTGTCAACAATTCATTAAGGCCTAACTCAGGCAAATGCTGCAATAAACCACTGTACACTTAAGGACACTTTTAAAAAGGAGAGCAATGGTCCTGTAGAAGCTAGCAGGTGACCCAGCGCTGAGCCGCTAATCAGTTTCTTTTGTGTGCCAAGTGAAAAAATTCTAAGCTTTATATAAAATGAATGACAGTTAAGGAGGGGCGGGACAAATCCTACAAAGAACTAGTCTTGTAGGACCACCAGAGAGACCAGGTTGTTCCTAGAGTCTCTAAAAGTACAATGGGAGCCTGAGCCTTTTCTTATCAAGCTCCACATTTGTGGAATCAGCTTCCAGTTTGTGTTCGGGCGGCAGACACCCTATCCGTTTTTAAGAGTGCGCTTAAGACCTTCCTTTTTGATAAAGCTTATAGTTGGAGCTGATTATATTCAGCCCCTAGTTTTGCTGCTATAGGCTTAGTTTGTCGGGGCACACCTTACTTCTTCCTTCTCTCTGTCTGTACCCGTGTACTCTCATGTTCCGAATAACCCAGCTTCCCCAAATGTCTTTCTTTTTGGTGTCTACATACGCCGGGATCCGGAGTCATGGCTAATCCTGTTGCTGTGGTCCTGAGTCCTGGATCGCGAGCCCTGGATCTTGAGTCGTGGCTGTGCCTATTGCTGTGGTCCTGGATCATAAGTCCTGGATGGATATCCTCGTGGATTCATCTTCCTATTATAGACACATGCATTTCCAAACATTTGGACTACCTATGTTGCAAATGTATCATCTTTTCAATTTACACACGGCATCTATTGCACGTCTGTTCGTCCTGGGAGAGGGATCCCTCCTCTGTTGCTCTCCCTGAGGTTTCTCCCATGTTCCCCTTTAAACTGTGGGTTTTCTTCTGAAGTTTTTCCTTGTACGATGTGAGGGTGTAAGGACAGAGGGTGTCGTATTGTCATACTGATATTCTGTACAAACTGTGAAGTCCACTGAGACAAATGTAACATTTGTGATATTGGGCTATATAAATAAACATTGATTGATTGATTGATTGAGTCTCTGTACAACTTCAGCATAAATATGAAGTATAGGCACATTATCAATAATGATTGTCATGAGTCATTAACAGTAATCAGTGGACATTAGTGGACGCAGTAATATAAATATATAAGCATTTACAAATTCTTTCTTTAAAGAATATTTAAATAGATTTATGTTGCTCTTATCTGAACCCTCTAATCTATCTTTGGCGTATGACATTCAGTTTTGTGTTGCAGTTTTGCAGTTTCACTGACTCTCAGTAACACACTTATGTTTTTTCACGCGGTACTGTCTAGTGAAGTTTTTTCCACAAACACGGCAACTGAAAGACTTCTCCCCTGTGTGGAGTGTCATGTGTTGCGTCAGGTGTCCCTGTTGTAGGAATCTTTTATCACAAACGGAGCAGCTGAACGGTTTCTCTCCTGTGTGGATCCTCATGTGTTTCAACAGGGTCTGACTCAGAGAGAAACGCGTGTCGCACACCGAGCAGCTGTAAGGTTTCTCTCCGGTGTGAACTCTCATGTGTCGGTCCAGAACTCCGCTGCGGATAAAGCTTTTAGGGCAGAGAGAGCAGCTGTATGGTTTCTCTCCTGTGTGGGTTCTCATGTGCGAGCTCAGACCCGTGCTCTGATTGAATCTATTCCCGCAAACTGAGCAGCTGAAGGGTTTCTCTCCGGTGTGAATCCTCATATGTCTTACGGCGTCTGATTTGAAGCCAAATTGTTTCTTACAGACTGAACATCCAAAGGCTTTTCCCCCTGAGGCACTTATCTTATTTGTGACAAAACATGCAACCTGTGACGGTTTTGGAACACAAACGGAGCAAACGAATGGAGGAATTTCTGCCAACACACAGTCTTTGGATTCAAATGTTTTACCACATTTAGAGCAGTTCAAAGACTTCCTACCAGTGTTACCTTCTTTATTACCCTTGGGAACACTATTGTTCTTGATCTTTTTTAGATCTGGCTGAGGTTTCCCTGGCTCCTGCCAGTCTTCATCACTGTTGTCAGTCTCAGGCTCACTAGAGTCTGAAGTCCTGTCGTCCACAGCTGGTGGACTGAGGGATACACCTGCCTGGATCGGAGTTAATGTCACAGTGTCAGCTTGTTCATCTGCAGGGTTGTAATCATGAGCTGGCTGTGAAAAGCCATCAGGATCTAAGCTTCTGGTTGGTTCTGATCCTCTGCAGTCCTCTCTATCCCTCTCTTTCTCCATCTGTGGGGCTGAGCTGCTGTTTTCTTCTTGTCTCTGATGAAGCTGTGGCTCAGCTTTCTCTTCATCATCTTCGCTCTTCACAGCGACAAGTTGCTCCTGTTCCTCTTTAATGTTGGGGGACTGATGAACATCTCCAGATAATACTGAAACAAGAAACACATTAAAGCAGTCATTAATTACAGGAATTGTAATGATGCTGCGTTACATTCATGCTAAATGTTATAGTTTTTAACTAAAGCCCCTTGCTAATGCTAATGTTGAACATTTTAAAAGTTATAGGGAACGGTTAAGTAAGGGATAATGTGTGAAGCGGTGGTCACTGATGAGAAAAGATCACCAACAAAGGAGAATCCTGCTATAGGCTAAAACAAAGTAACTAAAGCAGAACATTCTACACACTAACATGTATGACTTCCTGTCATTGTTCTCTGCCGTCTCCAAAACTTCATGAAGGACAGCCAAATCTTATTTGAGCACAGCCCTGATTATGTGTCCTGCTACGTTCTCAAATATAGAGATTATCTGCTTTTCCTGTTTTATATTATATAAAAGAAATGTATTGAAATGTCTTCGGGCTTTGTACTGACAAAACAAGACATTTGCATCGACTTTGAACTTCACTATTATCTGACCTTTTAACCTGTTAAACCCGGTGCCCCCGGCAACATCTTGCAAGAAACAGCGTCTGAGGGCTTCTTAACATTTAACAAACTATGAATGTGTCATACCCACTTAACGGGAAGAAACTCAGCTACCTGACGATATTAACCATTTTTACCGAAACAAAACACCGCCGAGCCTCTGAATTAGCACTAAGCGAAAGAGTGCTAACGCACTTAGCACATAACTCCCGGTAGAAATATTTTATACTTCATCGGATCTGCACAAACAAGATATCATCTGAATTTACATTTTTACACTATGTTCAATCTGAATTTACTTTAAAATTGTTTGTTTGTTTGTAGCCTTTATTTAACCAGGTTAAAAAATCCCATTGAGATCAACGATCTCTTTTTCAAGGGAGACCTGCGGTACATTAGTTACACATAAAAACAACAGAAAACAAAAGGACATCACAACATAATTACAGGGGTATACATTAGCAACCTATTTACAGTGACAGGTATCCAATAACATTTCATTAAAATAAAAACATCATGACCATAACTTCACTTCTAAAAGGGGTAAATTAATAATATTTGTTCTCAAAGCAATGATAAACCTGTGAGTTGGATGTAGAAGAGTCAGAATCAATATAGATTTTTTTTTATTTTAAAGTAAATTCAGATTGAACATAGTAAAAAAATGTAAATTATTGTGTCCGTCCAAAAAAAAAACATTACTTATAGTGAAAACCACCCTTGAATGATGGGATAGTAGACTAAACGCTTTAGGAATCCATATAACATATAATAAGTACCCTGTATCAAGATTGAAGCAAAACAAGTGAAATATGACCTTTTTAGAGAGATTTAGCACAAAAAAAGCACTTCTGGGGTCATTTGAGTGGATTTGACCTATCTCTGGCCCCCCTTAGTCGATTTTGATGATTGACATCTCTTTTTCACCGTTAGAGCCAATGGAATCGAGGGGAGGTTCCACATACACACACACGTGACGCGTAACCAAAACAGGAAGCTGTCATACACTCTGAAAGCTATCATTAGCAGCTAATCTGAATATTTTTACATATAAATTGAATTATGGATTATCAATAATTTTTTCAAAGTGACAGACACATTGTTTAACCTATGGATTAACCTTCAGCCGCGTTTTTCTCGTTTTAATGCCATTAAACACAACTTTTGATCAGAATAACAGCAAAAGGTGAGCATATCTCCGTGTTTTGCTACCTAAAGCTACGTTGTGTGTTGTCTGGTTTTGCTTCCCCTGTTGCTTCTGATCGCTCAATGATGATACTTATATTTCTAGAATCTGTGGAATCTCAGCTTGCTAGCTAAGCTTGTTTGAGCAGATCCGATAAGTATATCGATTGATTTATACCTAGAGTTCTGTGCTAAGTGCGTTAGCATTTTTTTCGTTCAGGGCTCATTTAGACGCTTCTTGTGAGACTTGTGTTTTGTTTCGGTAAAAATGGTTCATATAGTCAGTTAGCTTAGTTTCTTCCCGTGAAGTGAGTATGACACATTCATAGTTTATTATATTTTAAGAAGCCCTGAGACACAGTTTCGTGAAAAAAAAGCCCGTTAAGCCATACCATTTAACTAAAATAATTGTAGATATGGCAAAGCAAATCTTAATTCCTAGGCTCCTTCAACAATGCAACATAAATATATATAAAACAAAAAACGAATTAAAAAACAATTAAAGCTGCAAAGGTTCGCTGTTGTCCGCATGTCGACGTCGGCGCTGATGTTATAAGGACTCGGTCGTTAGCAAACGTGGGAAGTTTCAGGCCGATCGGACAATGTACATGGGAGTTACAGCAGTAACATAAACACCGTGTTTGATGGCGAGTGATCTGTCGCCATGGCAACGGCATTTGAGGACACCCCATAATAGGCTTAGATGTCTTGAGGTCTCATCGTTATCAAACATTTGAAGTTGTGGGCCGTTTGGAGCATGTTCACTGGAGTTATGAGAAAACCGTGTTTCATGGCGAGCATTGTGTTGCCTTGGCAACGGCATTTGACAAAATCTCACAAATTAAATATATCTGTCTTAAGGGCTGGACTGTTAGCACACGGGAAGTTTGACCATTTTATGACGATTTTCATAGGAGTTATAGCAATATCGTGTTTAACGGCGAGGGATGCGTTGACATGGCAACGGCTTTTGAGGAAAACTCACAAGTGGCACATAGACATGTTGAGGTCCGGACCATTAACCATCATCTGAAGTCTGGTGCCGTTTGGACGATTTTCCTTTGAGTTGCGACAATATCATGTTTTATGGCGAGGGATAACGGCATATGATGAGACCTGAGATTTGGCACTTGGTAAAGCTGTTGAGGAATGGACCGGTGATATTGTTGTGGAGATCCAGCACTCACACAACAGGAAAGAATGAAACAGAGAGGAATCAATAAAACACAAACACAGACATAGCTGATCAGTAATTATTATTTAGTTGTTGCAACAAACAAACAATAATGGGGAAACATTACCTGCTGCCACAGCAGCCAATCGCGGAACTGCCCCCCCAGAACAGAAGAAACACAGGACTAGATATACTTTTCTAAATGACACACGAACATGTTCCCTCAACATGTTTAACGCACACACATTGTCAGTTCTCCTGAACTTGGACATGTTCCAACCTTATACAGGCATACATGTTGCATCCTCTGAGTTCTACATGATCCCAGATTTCATGACCTTATTTAGCAGCTACCACACATGCCAATGTATACAACTGCTGGTGAAGAGTGTCAGCTGGATGCCTATAGATGGGCCTCCTTCCAGCAAACCAAATGAACACCACACAGTCCACTATACTGTTGCTTAATACCATGTGACATTAATGAATATACCAGAAATACGCTGTGATAAACATTCTGCCATAACACTATACAACTAAAGTTTGGTGGACGATCGTCAGTTGGAGTTATGACATCATCGTGTTCCATGGCGAGGGATCTCCTAGCATCGAGCAAACGTGAAAATGGGCGCTGCATAACGACTACGCCGTGTGGTAAAAAATTATGATTTTTCCCATGTCTTGAGACTCTACCCTCCGAATTTGGAGTCGATCGGATCAAATCCCTAGGAGAAGATCTCTGAAGTGACCGACTTCCTGTACGCTTTGTTATACACCTACAAGAGGCAAAACATTTTTCTATTCATGTTTTGATCAATTCGTAAATATGTATAATTCAACCTACTTTCAGCTACAGAAACCATATTTCTATAAATATAAGTAGGGATGCTCCGATCGATCGGCCGCCGATCGATATCGGCCGATACTCACTCTCTGCCGATCGATCGGTGCTCTCTAAAAATGCCGATCGCGAGAGCCGATCGCATGACATAAAATACATGACACTTTTCTCTGTGTGCGGCAAAACAAGCTCGCCAAAATGGCTTCACCAGTCTGGCAGTATTTTAAGGTGTCCGAAAATGACAATAAAATAGAGGTATGCAACGTGTATGAAGCAGAAATCCTGCAGCTGTGACGAACCGGTGAGCGGAGCAAAACACACAAGAGTTAGACCTAACACACTTAGCTATTTTATCTACCTCTGGAACAAGCTAAACTAGTTATACATATATTTATTCTTCACTGTCGGGTCACTCATTACTGGATCAGTGAGCTGCATGAGATACTGACAGGCTGTCAGGAGAGAGAGAGAGGGGGAGAGAGGAGGAGAGAGGAAAAGAGAGCACTTATCCGCTAATTTCTCCCGTGTTATTATCCAAAGTTAATGTAAACTTGAATAATGTAGCCTACTTCATTTGAATGTAATAATTATGTTGGTTGTTGTTTGTGGAAGCGCCAGTGAATGAGCCCCATTAACTGAGTTTTAAACATCACTTTAAATGGAAGATCCCCATAGGCCCCGCCCACTCGATCGGATATCGGTATCGGCCGATACTGATTCCGGCGATCGGCCCCAAATTTGGCGATCGGAGCATCCCTAAATATAAGTTTATATATTTATGACTTCTCATTATGTTTATACATGAACTACATTCCTGTTCATATTCCTATGTCTATATTTTTTATTTCTTGTTATGTATACACTTTTTCTACATTCCTTTTTTACATCTGCATACATACATATATATATATATAAAGTGTGCGGGGGAGACGCCTGGACACGTCTACGAGCAGCAAACTTTCAACAAAGATCGCTAAATGGGTGCAATTAACATTGTGGAGGACGAGGGGCTGCATGATATAATTCGGGTCGCATCCAACGACTGCACTTATGAATTGCCTTCCAGAGCCACCACTGTGTCGAAAATACACAACTTGTATGAAGTCCAAAAAGCGAAAGTAGAGGAGGATTTAAGAAAGACTTCCACAGATGCGCTCACCGGAGACTATTGGACTTCACTCAGTAATGACAGTTACCTCGGGGTCACAGCGCATTATTTTGACCCACAGTGGGAGCATGAGACCCACAGTCTCATGCTTGACAGTTATGAAAACAGAGGAGCGGCATGTCGCCGACAACTGC